TCTGAAAATTAATCATTCTCTAATCTCAAAACTCTACTGAAATTATTTATAAAGAAGGATACTTTTTATCAGCTTTTTATAGCTTTTATTAATTGAAATTTTTTCATCGATTAGTAACCTCCTTCCTGATAAACTACGAGTTCAAATTTTCTACACGCATTGTTGGTCGATCACAATGCAATACGGTGAAGCGATTTTTACAAAATTCGATTTAGATTATTTAATTAATTTTTAATTAACTTTCCGTAAATATCTCTGCTGTTTGTATCATTGGAGAAAAATTCTCAGTACTACTTGTATGAAAATTGTAAACTTAAATTCGGATTTTTTAAAAAGTACTTTATTTTTTTAGACCATTGACATTTATATTTTTTAATTTGAACATCTAAAAAATATATGGCATGTAAAATTATAAAATCTTCACAAATTGTAAAAAAAAAGTTTCGCTCTCTTTTAAAAATATGAATGATAAAAAAATAGTAATTGAGCGATTTTCTCTATTTTTTTAAATGTGTTGTAGTCTTGAGTTTGCAATCTCGGGGCACGTATTAACGAAATTTGGCATTTGCGCTCTTAATTGCTTGGTGCTTTATTTTGCTTGGAGCACTTAGTGGTGAACTAATAATACAGGTTTTTACTTCCTTTTACAAAATAACGGAAGAATTGTAATTCCAAAAAATTTTGAGTATCATATTTCAATGAACATATTCATTTAGACCCCTCTCGAACGCATTTGAACGATTTTTTTTTTTCGGAGCATCTGTAACTACAGACCGAATATACGACGGTTTTTTCCAAAACGAATTGTGAAATGGATATAAAATTTATTCAGAAGGGACTTTTTTGTGACTTTTTGTACGCAAATATACGTACGTATGTATATATCTCCTAAAACTGAAGTGCAAGTAGCTATAAGAACGGTGAAATTTTGCGCAGCTCCCTTTTTTATAGCACTCGGCCGCACCAAACTTTTATATATATCAAAGATAAATCTAAATACATTAATAAATAGAAAGAGATTTCCTGATACTTGCGCAGTAGCTGCAAAGTAATAAAATTATTTACTAATGGATTATATAATGTATTTACTAATGGATTATATAATTTATTTACTAATGGATTATTGAGTATATTATATCCTTAGATAAAGTTAGTAGAATTGTAGAAGCACTGAAAATCGAATTTTGAAAAAAAAAAAAAAAAAAAAACTTCAATTTGCATCATGAAAAAAATGAATGGAAACTTTTGAAAATGAAAAATTAATCAATAAACCAAGTATTTATTGTCATTGATGGGAAATTGGTTGACTTTTCACTGGAAACTAACCAACTCCCCACAATCAACAATAATTAATAAATGCGAAGGTGTTTCGTCTTTTACTCAATTAAAAATTAGGATACCAAACTGCTGAGTTGTAACCAGTTAGTTAGATTGAAGGTGAGATGAAATTGGAGGACTTTGTAGAATTCATTATGAAAGTTGCAGTTCCATTTAGCTTATTATTTTCTAAGTCAACTAATTTCCGATCAATGACAATAATTACTTGAGTTGGTGATTAATCTTTCACTTTCGAAATTTTCCATTTCAAATTTTCCATTTTCAAAAGTTTCCATTCAATTTTTTCATGATGCAAATTGAAGTTCCTGTAGATTTTTTTCAAAATTCAATTTTCAATGCTTCAAGCTGATTCCTTCTACTCCAATTCTATTAACCTTATCTAAGGAGATAATATACTCAATATACGTATGTATGCATACCCCCCTCTTATCTTGCTTGATGAGCTCTCCTTTTTGGTTCTTTTTGGTAAATTCTTCGTATTTACCATCATACCATCGTATTTACCATTCACTTTTAAAGCATTAGAAGTGACTGAATTATGTTGTTCTTGTGTTCTGGTTACGGGTTTTATGCCTTCAGTTAATCTGTATGCAATTGTTGTACAATTATCAACAATTTCAAAGTTTAAGGGGCTGTAGAGACATTAGGTAATTTTTGGAAGCAGGAAAGATGAAAAATGAGCAACCGCCTTCGCCGGGAATCGAACGACGTTCCTATGGAATACTGCCCAGTGTGCAGAATCATTACACCACGAAGGCACATTAAGAGAGTGAAAGAAATATCTTATATAATCCCCTTTTTAAAGGGCGACTGGGGTTTTTAGGCGACCCAATCTCCAACTGCCGGGTGTGGAGATCCATCATCCACGACCTTTTTTTAGTTCGGGCGCTAATGTAGCGGCATTAGGTAATTTTTGGAAGCAGGAAAAATGAGAACCGCCTTTGCCGGAAATTGAACCACGGGCCTCTGGAATACCGGCCCAGTGTGCAGAACCACTACACCACGAAGGCACGCTAGGAAAGTGGGAGAAATACCTTATAGGGCATTAGGCCTAACGTGGGCACTGTTTGTTTAGATTTAAACCTCTGAATTAGATCCATTTGGTATACCAACTTCAGAGTTCCCCCCCCCCCCAACTTTCAATTTTGTGAAACGAAACTTTTCGCATTCTGCCCGTTGGCTGAACTGCTTTTGTTTTTCCATAGAAACAATGAAAGTGCTTTGAGTTTTATGTACTTTTGCGCTGCTGGGAAGTGAGAAGTAAACTGATTGGTTGAAAACTATAATGAAATTCGAGGAATGACTTAAATAATAAATAAAATGCAGCTAAAATGTGTGCAATTTGATAGACATACAAGAAAGTCATGCGATGTCCACGTCAGGGTTTTTTTTTCCATTTTAGCTTCAAGTAAAATGCTCTTTGCAACATGGTTATTACTTTCAGATTCAGAAACTGAATAGTTAAAGTTAGTTCTTCATTCTCTGAATGAAGTACCGTTACTTTTTTTATTTGTCATTTCTTATAATTTATTGCTTCCGTTTCGATAATGACTAAAAATTTCATTATTGATAACACGTAATTGAGACTATGAAATAGAAAACACCGTGCAGTTTTTAAAAAAAGATTTTTATATAATGAGGTCTTATTTATATAATGAGGTCTTATTTAAAATGGTTACGATGATTAATGCACTTAAAGAAGAAAACTATTTTTTGATATAATTTAACTGTAATACTATATTAATCATTCTAATTTAAAAATCGAATCGCTCTCCAAAAAGCATTTTAGTTAGGTAATGAATTAGGAGAGGAGTTACCATTGTGGAGCTCAAATTTATACTTTATCCCTTCGTTCAGTTGGCAGATTCCAAAATAAATAATCTAACAGAACATTTAACTAATATATACAGTTTCGGTTTAAAGCAGAATAGCCGTTTTATTACAAAAGCAGTGTGATAGAGGTATTTTTTTAAAGTACAAATAGTGCAAAGTTATATATATGTTGCAAACAGTCAATCAAATAAGGCTTTGAACTCCTAAAACGTAATACTGAAACAAAAATTGCAGGCATTCGGGGAAAAAATGACAGTTTTTTTTTTCTACTCTCAAATATTTCCGACAATTAGCATAGCTGTATTAGAGTTCTGATCGATGATGCCAATATACTATTTGTAAATTTAATTTCTCACTTCTCATTTAAACTTACTTAACAGACAGGCAGGAAATATTTAATTAAGAAAATAATATTTTAAATATAATAAACATTAAAGTATGTAACACATTCTAGGTTTGCATAATACATTAAATTCAAGTTTCTTTCTTTATTGAATTTAAACATTTATAGGACTCGTTACTCGTTTGATAGTTTATTAATAACAGTGTTTGGTAAAATTCCTTGCCTTATTCGCTGTTTCATTATTTGCGCTCTTCAAAGCGTCTTAAAATATAAAGTCTTCCTAAACAATGTCGTTAAAATTACTTTTAATAAAAGCATTTGAAACTAAATGATTGCGCCTAAAGCCTTTGATGCAACGCTGTCTTTAAATTATTTTTAAGGGGACTCATACACCTTAAAACCCATAAGCTTTTCGAATAGGTGATTGTTGCAAGAATTGGGATAACTTATTTATTTTAAAAGCAATTACTACCAACTTTTTACAGCTGACTACATAATATAGCAGCTTTCTGAAATAGTAATCACAAAGTTTGTGTTGCCACAAATATTTTTATAATTTAATCCGCTTTGTGACAACATTTTTTGTCATGTTTCCAACTTTAACGCGCACAGTTTAAAACATTCTGTGTATGTACCGTTAGCCATTTTTAAAATATCTTGCGCGCAATGTGGAAACACGGCGAAATATTTTGTCACAAAGAGGTTTAAATTACAAAAATATTTGTGGCAACACAAACTTTCTGGTTACTAGTTTCCAAAGCTGTAGCCAGCTGTAAAACGTTGGAAGTAATTGCTTTTAAAATAAATAAAATATCCCAATTCTTGCAACAGTCACATATTCGAAGATCATGAGGGGTTTAAGTTGTATGAGTCCCCTTAAATACACCCTACAAGCTTAGAAGGAGAATGACTGGTAGGAAGATTGGAATGTTATTAATTAATAAGCAGAGTCAACAACCTACAAATTCAATACCTGCCGCCATTAAGTGCAAATTCATGCATATTTAAAGACCTGACTTTGGTAATAATCAAAAGCTATTACGAAAATTTCGAATCTGTCGTAGAGATCATGTTAGATATATAAATCAAATCAATATTACTAAAAAGATCTTTTCTACGAAAGTAAGCATAATCATTTATATAAATCCGGAATTACAGAAAAGAAAGCACAAAACGATTTACAGAAAACTGTAATTGTCGAACAATCAACAAGTAATGTAAAAGATTCAGCTATTCTTCTGCAACTACGAAGATAAACATAAGGCATATTCATGTAATAAAGGTAGAATTAATTCAGAAATTATACCATGCTTAGAAAAGTGCACTTTAATACGACTTAGGAATGATGAGAAGAAGAATGTGAATGAAAACTTATGATTAAAATAATTTTGCAAATAAAGAAATTCCCTACTTAAAATCTGTTGCAAAGTAACTGATGCATTTCGTATAGTTTAATATTATTTTTATATTCCTTTTTATTCGGTAGGTACAGAAAATGCTGTTCCTGAGTTTTGAAGAACGTCATCAGTTTATAAATGAGTTCTGTGAATAATTTTGTAATAAATTTCATCTTTAGGTTATTTTACTTTTGAGAAAGATAGCTTCTGTAGCCTAAGAAAATTTGGAGAATATTCAGCTTCTACATATAAAGAAAATAATTTTAAGTTTTTCATTTTTAACACTAGATTTCCCAAGGAAGTCATTTTGACTGCTTTTTAATTTCAGTTAGAAAACAATTATTTCTTAGAATCTTGTGACTTTTTGTACAACATATAAATGCGTTTATTAATAATTGTAGTTACCTCCCTTCTTTCATTTCCGGTATATATATATATGTTGTACCTATATTGCCGAAAGCAGTCATTTTGACTGCTTGTGAAATTTTAAATAATCAAATGACTCTTATTACTGAATTGAATAAATTTCTTATATGACCAGTTTGGCTCTGTATTGAAGTAAGTTTTCGTTTTGTTTTTCGCCTATCGTCCCATGATAACATACAAGTACGTCATAAATTGTCGGTTCTGGCGTATACTTGATAAGTTGCAGTTTCTCAATAAGCTAAAGTAGTACTTGTTATTCGAATCTCAGTGAACACGTTGTTCTGAAGCTTGTTGAGTCATATACAAGCTGTGGAAGAAGTATCCCGACCGATAACTTTTTCACTAGTATGCCACTCGCGACAAAATTATTGGCCAAAAAAACAACTCTTGTTGGTACTATTAAGGGGGAAAAAGAGAACTACCCAAATCAGCCAAACAAACGAAGGATAACATGCCTCGTTTTTCCATTTTGCTATATAAATCAGAGAATTGTGTTCTTACAATATATAAAAGCAAATAAAATAAAAGAGTAGCTGTTCTAAGCATAAATTTGTGAAAATTCATAAAAGTAATTAAAAAACGTTACTGGAATCTATTCAATTTTGTAACAGCACAAAACTTATATTTCACGGATCAAATGGCCAGAAAATATACAGTAAAAGCTAATTCTCGTAGATAGCCCCTCCAAATATTTTTCAATATTTTAAGTTTCGCTGTTATAAATGCTTGGATCCTTAACAAAGAAACGACAGGAATACAAATACAACGAAAAGAGTTCTTATTTCAATTAGCAGAACAGCTTTTCACCGAATACAGAGCTGCAAGACAGAAAAAGTTATCAGAACATGAAGACCCACAAAGATCAACTGCAACATCACCAAATGCAACCCATTCTAACAAACGCAAAATTTGTCAAGTACGCCTTCGCCACAACAACGAAACAAATAATATATGTGAAAATGCCCAAAGTATGTTTGCGGAAGATGTACACATAAAAAAGATTTCCACTTTCATTTGCAAAAAATGTACAAATAATAATGCATAAATCATTTTCTTCCAAGTGAAGTAATTTTTTTATTCTTAATATTTACTAATAACTTGTTATATAACTGTAAATAATATAAAAAATATGAACTATTAATTTTAAACACATTTCTTTCCACATTAGTCATTCTTTCACATCCAGTGCTTAAATTGCGCCGCAGCGCACCAGATCCCGGCTCCGGTACTCCTCAATTTTTAAGATAAATTACAATTCTAGCCGGAGCGCACCGGAGCCCTAAATAAGATGGGCTCCGGTACTTCTTTTTATAAAACTGAGCCACAATTTCAAGGGAAAAAATTAGAATTCCTAGCGTTTTAGTTTAACAATAAGCAGATTTTGCAATACTTTATTTCCCTAAAATACGAGCTCATAAGAACATGAGACGTTCAAGTAAAGTCTCGTCACTCACATGCGGAAACATTTCCCTTTAAGAAGGGCAATAACTTTGGGGGAGTGTGTTTAGGAACGCGTACCATTCTCGCCATGCCATCGTATCTAGTGTATTCTTATCGATCGTTACAGTTAGTTATCCTCGCAGGAAGGAAAATTTGTGTTCTTTAATGTGCGTTAAGTGACAGCGAGTACAAGAGTAAAATACTGAAATAAACTGCTCACGTACGTCCTATACATCGTCTTCCCAGAGTATCCACTAATGTAATAAAATATGGGGGGGGCGAAAGGCGTAAGCAGCAACTTTACATTCATTCTTAGGAGTTACATTCAGAACTCATTTTACCCTTGACAGACATCCGCTGGATGGCTATAATTATATCAGCAAAGAGGCGCGGTCAAAGAGAACGTTCTTTGTCACCAAGATTTCCCTCATTTTCTGTTTCCATCCACTCATACCCTCACGCCCTCATTCAGCTTCGCCCTCTTTTTAGCATTATCTGAATTTTCATCAGCTATATTTTAAGTATATTTAATTTTTGTGATGATAAACAAACTTTTCTCTCTAAGATCAGAGCTTAAATTGGCTGGAGCCACCGGATCCCGCTCCGATGATTTTAGTTTTGTAATAAATCATAACTTCTAGCCGGAACGCACCGCAGCCCTGAATAAGAAGGTTGCGGCACTTCTTTATGTAACTGAATAATAATTTCAGTAGATATTTATCTCGAAAATTTATTTTAACAATAAAATTATATTAAAAAAAAAAAATCTGAAATGTTTCAGATTTTAAATTACGTCCAAAGGGGCGTTTTTTAACATTTTGTGTGTTACCTTTCTTTATTAAATATCATGTTCCTCGCACTTAAACCATAAGATCCAGTGCAACAGCAATATCGCAAAATAGTTTTAAAACGAGCATATCTTTAGAATTTCCGATACAGAGACTCACGCGCTGGAGATAAAAATGTTTTTTCTGCACAACGTTGCCATTGCTCGCTTTGAAATCCTTGAGTTTGTTAATCAAAAACTCGTCAAAGTTTTAAAAAATAGGAAATCGATCATAAAACAAATTTAAAAATTTCAAATTTGGTCTTCCACATGCTCATATTCGTTGGAGGATTACGTTATTCAAAATTCGATGACTCTATGTGCCGTTGTTTTATCACAATACGAGAAATATACATACATTTATGCAGATTTTTCATTATTTAATTTCTTCAAATATAATGCAGGACTCTAACATTTTGTGGCAACAGTTTGAAAAGTGAACCGACATTTATGAGTCCGACGCAAAATGCCAAAACGATACTAATAGTCCTTCGGGATTCAAATCCCTTTGGACTAAAAATCGCTTATTACATTTTAATTCATCTCTATACATTTAATTTATTTAATTATATAATAATTATTGATTAAATAAAAATTTATAAACATTAATTAAATATCTATTAGTTAATTTGATAATAATTAACTATTTAATTTTAAAATTATTAATGCGTTTAATAGTCATTTTATTTATTTATTTACTCTTGTTCCTCTTTGCTGACGCTCTTCCATAGGTCCCCGGCACCTCTCCTTTTAGAAATTAAGCCCTGTGTACATCACTATCAAATACTAGATATAGAAGAATAAAATATTCATTCAGAATTTGGTCTGGTTTAACTATAAATATAAACATTTTTTAAAAAATTAGAATCCTAGCAAGAAATTTATAGCTTTAGACAATATAAACGGTTACCTAAATTTTGCCCAACATCATAGGGAAAATGCTTAGAGTCTAATGGACAAAACGTAATATGATTACGAATACAGTTATTTGATTACAACTCTTTCAAAATTTTCGCTTTTGGCAACAGACAAACCTTTCGTATATTATCATCTCTTTCGCAATCATTCGCAAACCGACCATAAAAGCTAGGCGCTTTGTTCTGTAGAGAAATACTCTCGTAATCCAATAAAAGGATGGTTGACACGAAATTCATCAATTAAGGTAAACTAAGCAACCCACGTCTCTGTGCCACGCATTTCCCATTAGGAAAAGGCGTATTCGGATAAAATAGTTCTTGCCAAATTAGATTACAAGCCACTGCCACTGGCAATGTGAAGCTCCAAACTTCTACTCCATCTTAACCCGCGACAATTTCAGAGCTCCGCTCATCTATGATGTGTTGCTTTGCCTGGGAAACAGAAGCCCAACAACAAGTTGGGCTTCTGTTTCCCAAAAGAACTAGAATTTTGTTCTAGGAAGTTAAAGGTATGAAAATATTTTTTACATATCATTGCGTAATTGCCTTTATTTTTAACTACTTAACGGAAGTGGGGCTTTGCTCCTTTTGTTTGCGATCATTAATGAATAGCTAATAAGCATGCCCAATTGAATATAAAATTGCACAAAACTCAATTTTAGAGAATAAGTATTCTGAACTTCTCAAAAATTCTTCAAAAGAGCATTACTAAAAAATAAACGATCTAAGTTTTATCTAAGTTTGAATTTCGCCTAATTGAAGAAAAAATAAGAAGAATTGCTTTTATGTTTGAAAAGTATAGAGAGTATTAATTAAATAAGTATATTAATTTAATGTTTATTAGAAGACACTTTTGCAATGCATTTCAAAGTCAAATATGTTAAAAAGTGCTTTCAAAGTTTCGACAATAAAGAAGTAAAAATGCATTGGAATTATTTATTATTGAAAATTACATTCAGCGCTAACTGAAAAGAATAGAATTTTTATACTGTTTCAATTAAATAGTTTCTTGAGAAGTTTTAAAATAGTACAAAGTAAATTATTATTTAAAAAAGCTTTAACATTAATACACATTAAAAAAGAAATAATTATGATTTAAGCGGCATAATTTGTTTTTAATTTAGGCTACATCAAATGATTAGAGTATAAATCCAAATTCAGAGACAATTATAATTAAAATATTATTTCAACTATCTTGAGTTCCACATATTCTGAGGAAGTGAAAACTCTGAGTTTCGGTGAGGAATATGCAAACTGTGTAATGTATCTAAATTAACTTTTCGGTCTGGTTCTCGACTTATCGTAATTAGTTTTCGATTCTATCTATATAGAATAGAAAACTAATTATAATTTAAAACCCATCAAGGGCCAGGTTGGTAATGTGATTGAGCAGCATTATGTTTAATGAGAAACGCAACAGTATTTAAGGGGACTCGTACACGTTAAAACCCATAAGGTCTTTGAATATGTGACTGTTGCAAGAATTAGAACAATTTATTTATTTTAAACGCAATTATTTCCAACCTTTTAGAGCTGACCACATAATGTAACTACTTTCTGAAACAGGAATCAGAAAGTTTGTGTTGCCACAAATAGTTTTATAATTTAATCCGCTTTATGACAAAATGTTTCGTCAATTTTCCACCTTGCGCGCACAGTTTAAAACATTCTGTTGCATAATTTAATTCCATATTTAATATATAGCTTTTATAACATTTGAAAACTATTGTGAACCAAAAATTCTAAGAATTTCATATTAAATTTTTATTTTATTTGGAGTATAGTTATAAAATGTATTTTATTAAAAAATCTGTAATGTTTTCGTTCCTAATATTTTTTAATATTAAAATATTCATCAGATTTTTGGTTCAGT